CATTTTTGAAATAAAAAAATATACGATATACACTTGTACCAAATAAATAAATATAAATAAATCAAAGCTAAATAATTCTTATTAACAATAGTTTTGCTTAAAATATCGAAATTTATATATATTTAGCAAGAATATTTTAAAAATTTCAAAATTACTTTTTAACAAAATTTCTTTTAATTACAAGTATCGTGTACTTACTTGAATCTCGTTGTTGAATTTGTTCCTTGTCAAATATGTCGATTACATTAGGTTTGTTGTTAGATTTCGACATCACAGAGTATTTATTTTACGAAAGATATCAAACGATGATCACATAATACATAATTCAGAAAATAACTGATATAATTTTCCCAATTTTAGCTACGTCAAAACAGGGCCGCATTCAAACAGCTTCTGTGTGAGTAGTGTTCTGATAACAGTGATTATACGGCATATATGCAGCATAGATTCTGTAGTAATCTTTCACGCGCAAGCTGATGAAATCACTTTACTTTCAAAAATATTTTCTCTTGTCATATTTTCGAGCTCATCGCTTAATATCACTCAAACAATTTTATCACTTAAGTAAACTCAACCAGTTAATTTATCATGTACAGTACCATGCTTACAATTCTAATATTTGTCGACCGAAATCGACAACTTAATTAAATACATTCACGTGCCTGATGATTTAATTACCTAATCATCAGGAAACACGATTATACTATTATGTTCCTCATTGAAAAAATTTCATTTCTTTGCTCCTTACATAAGTTATATTTTTTTAATGAGAAACAAGTGATAGTAACAATTTACTTTCAAAAATTGTTCAACCCTGAGAATACTATTGTTATCGTTATGAGAAATTGTAATGTTATTACTAAATCTTTACTATAAAAAAAGAACAATAAAATAATAACAGTATTACGAGTAACGCGTTTCTCATCATCCCTGCTTGTAAGTGTTAAAATTTAATTTTTCTTTAACTTTCGGCAATGATTTCTGACTTCGCTTATCAAAATGTCTTCTTATAAAATACACCGACAACTACACGACAGTTTCCATTATCACAAGTCATTCTATCTGAAACGTAATGAAAACGTGCTCATGACATATTCAGATGAGATAAATGTGATAATAATACGTAGACTAGATTGTGGAGACATAAATACATATATTACTGATTCTTTTGCTGAAGTATATTTGTACTGAAGAGATAGAAAATCGTGAAGAGTTAGAAAATGTTTTTATTTTTTATTATTGTATCAATAATAAAATATACACAAGAATGCGTGTATCATTTATTATTAACAGTTTATATTTCCTTTGGTTTGCTGGTCAAAATGAGCCATTGTTCTCCTAAGAATTCTTTCTCGCGTGATAAGTTCGACAGATCTGGGTGAAAGATTGATCTCAGCTGTAACTTTTCTCGAGATTTTATCATATTGCATGTAAGTCTTACGTTAAATTATACCGCTCATCGGTATCTTTGTTCCTTTGTTGCGTCCTATACAGGAAATACTATATTCTTTCTGGCCTTACGCTCACGATATCTATTTAAATGCTTGGGGGATTGCGAGAAGGCTGGATGTTGTACCAGACTCTTTAACTAGACTCTTTAACTAGACTTCTGGACTCTAAACATATATTAACTACGTGCTAGTATAATCACATATACATACGATTGACATTGTGATACACAGATAACACGCCAGAAAATAGAAACATCCTAAATAAATCTGCTAGAAATGTTTTATTCAAAATCATAAATATAATTTTTTCTTAAGATTCAATTTCAAAAATATTCTTAGTATAAAACTTTTGTCAAAAGGATATCGTAAATGAAAAAATATATTAATATTGATTTAAAAAACAGCCATTCTAATTTTTTTAAATTCAAATACATTTCATTGTAGAATTATGAAGATCTACTCATTGTTTAGTTTTAGTGTTAATTAGGCGTTGATCCCACCCGCATGACTTGATTTCATCCAAAGGAAAGACTTCTCTTCTATGACTCTCTTTCTTCTTACTAGATTCCCGGGCTTGTCGGTACGACAACGACTCCATATACTCAACCACCTTCGAAGAAAAAGAGAAAGAGAAAAGTTATATGCAAGGACAGAGTATCGCAAGAAAGCGAAGTTCGTTTCACCGGAGTAATTAAAGTTTCCTGCATTTGAATCGCGGAATCGACGTTGCGTGGCAAGTGGCCTGCTTTTCGACCGACAGTACTTTTGTCGAACAAGGAGAAATAAAAATCAGCGTCCTTTTACTAAATGAATTAGGGTCAGCAGATCGCATTATGAACTAACGTTTGTTATGCCGAAGGTTACGCTAAGGATGCTTGGAACTGATAAAGATCGTTAACAATGGATGTGTCGGCTAAATAAATGATTAATTAAATAAGATAGCTCACCCGAGTATGAAATGACATCCAATAGGAAGTTCGAAATATTTCCAGCAATGAGTTACAACTATACACTGTTCGACTACATTTCTAATTAAATATTAAATATGTTGTTTCTGACAAGAGTTTAAGATTAAATAAAAGTATATAGCTTGTTAATTAAAAGTAAATAATAAATAAAATAAAATAAAAAAATAAATAATATATACATAACGGTTTAGTAAAATAGCCATTTAATAAAGTTAAAAATAATAATAATTTCTTGCTACAAACTGAATCTATAAATTTTACTTATATAAAATTTTATATGAAATTGTAAGGGAAAGGGTGAATTTACATATATACTCAAGTAGAACACAAATCATCATGATATAAAAACGACTTTAATTACTAAAAGTTATTTTTTAATCATTCAAGATTCACTTTAACATTATTTTGACGTGTTGTTCTCCTTGGATGGTATACCATTAAACATAGGCGATATGAAACAAGATCGAAAAACTTTATTGAATTAATGTGTTGTACGCGGAAGTATCCGGACAAGAGATGGACAACAAACTCCAGGTTGAAATTACGGAAGTTTTGCTGAGTTTGATAATTAATTACATGTTCCACCGTATAGATCTCATCTGTCTAATGCACATTAAGCGAAACGTTTTATATGAACTATCTTGCGCGATCACTATATGCTCCATAATGAATGCAGCCAACATAATTAATTAATGATACACGACGCTCGTGACTGATCATTGAGCATGCTTCGTTTTCTGACAAGCAAAACAGCTGATACTTATTCAGATTAATGAATATATTCGTTGAAATGTGAATAACTTATAGAGATACATTAATTTAAAGTATATTAGACACCTTAGAACACCATTATTAGTTATAAGAAAATTTTGAAATAAATATCGATTAGAACTAAAAAAATGTTAATTTGTTTATAGAAAAATTCTAAGTAACTTAATAAGCTTAATTTATTACATGATTATTAAAATTAATTATTACTTCTTCTAAATTATACAAGTTTATTACATGTCAAATGGTATTTAAATGTATAACCTTATTGTTGTAATCGATGTAGCCCATTAAGATTCCATATGTAAGTACGCTGCTAATGCTTAGAAGAAATAATCTTTGCAATAATGGATTGTTTAGATACCACTTAAACTTAACCATGATGTAGAGCTGAAATATAAAAACATATAATTATATATTCTGTATTATCTAATTGGTTAATAGATATTTTACTGATTGTAAATACATCAAATATATATATTTAATCAAAAATCAAAAAATTACTTGTTAAATAAATTTTCTGCATTATAAGCACTAAATTCAAATAAAAATATACATTTAATATTGAGTGTACTGGAATATTAGTCAAGAAAATTTTTGAACAAATTAAAATTAGAATTAAAATTAAATATTTTTATGTACAAGGAAAAACATCAAAATTTATCGAAATTTTGGCAAGATTTTGTTACAAAATTTGATTAGCGACGAACTTCGGATTCAATGAGATTTATTATTTGTGTATGCAAGATAATAACGGTAGAAATAAATAATATTAGAGAAATATTGAAATTATTACTTTTTATTTAATTGTAATTTTTATTTTAGATAAAATGTGAAATGACTTTTATTTTTATCATTTTTATTTCAATAAACACCAAACTAAAAGTAATATAACATCAATGTTATAATTTCACATATGTTGTATTACACTTATATTGTTGAGAATTGTTGTGAATTATAACAATATTATGTGTTACTTTCATTTGATCTTTACTTCTACTGAATTATTATTCATAAGATTATGCAGACATTGTCATTTAGAATACATTTCGCATTTTTATTTCAAAACACACATATTAAAAAAATCAAAATTATTTATTTCTCTCATATTTTAATTTTTATATAGGTAATTATTTGTTCAAAAGTTACAAAGGAAATATTCATAATTTACACATAAGTTAAATTAGCATTGCATTACACATAATATTATAAATCATATTTTTCTTTCCCTAATTACCAGATACATAAATATTTAATGCAACATCGAGAAAATAAATTCTATAAAAAATTTCAAAACGTACATCGACATTTACATTAATTAAAATTATTACATAAACGTAGAAGCGTTCTCGCAATCTGACGCGATCACTGATACACGTATGTTTTTACTAATGTAAATGAACTTTAATCTCGATTAAACTTACTCTTCACTATTTTCTAATTTCTAGAACTAGAAAAAGATGAAAAATTAGTTAAGCCGAGATTAAAATTAAACAATATTGACAAAAAAACAGGCATGAAAGAAAAAAGAGCATGAGTGTATATTAACACACTCTTAAATTTTCTGGTTATTCCAGTGTTCCCTGTTCTCTAATCATGCTTTTCGCTTAATTTCGCTTCTGCAATTACGTGAAGCATAAGAGCGCGCGAATTCGCGCGAAGAATTCAAACGTAACGACGGCGCGCTGCGATGGCATTCAAAGTTCGCCGCGCGGCCGTCTGGCGGCGCCAGTGTCACGACGCGTCGCACAGCGCCGCGATGACGTTCGGTCGATAAACGGCGGGACACGGAAGGTTCTCTAGAGGCGCTCTCTCGAGACTCTCGGCCTCGACAGGTCTCGCGAGTATCGTCGTCGTCAAGCAGTCGTCAAATATCGTGTCATTCGTGTCCCATTGCTATCAGGCCGAGACTGGAGATTTGCAACACGGGACTTTAGGCAAGATTCTCTCTTTCTCTTCGCGCGTTTCGAGGAAATCGTGAGTGAGGCATATTATAATTTTACAACGAGCGGCGGAATCCGGAATCGCGGGCGCGCAGCGCGACTGATGTCGCGCGGGACGGCGCGGCGGTACTCCGACGACGACGGGTCACGTAATCAATCGTGATCGGTCGCGCGCGTCGTGAGTCGTCTACAACGAACGGGTGGCCGCCGCCCGCGGCACGGTTTTCGCGCGCCAGCAGTCCGTCGAAACATGCGTCCGTTGCGGGGCGACGGGAACCGAGCGACAACCGAGGAGGCTCCTTCGAGGAACTGTCAGGGGGACCGTCGCCACCACCATCGCCGCCGACGCCGCCACCACCACTGCCGTTACGCGTGAGTCAGTGCAGGATCGGACGGAGGCGACGCACGCAAAATGGCTTCGGGCGACAATGTGGACGTGATCGAGGTGGTCGAGACGAGCTTCCCCGTGCCGGCGCAGCCCACGGTGGATCACCTTAGACCGGAGCAATCCACCATCGAGGAGGACTGTGAGTGAATGTGACACCCGTACTCCGTTTAATCTCCCTTCTCCTCCTTGCCGCGTGCCTGGATCATCCATTGTGACCTAACCTATACCGCGATCCCGGACGCCGTGTCAGGCGTCGTTTCTCACTCGACGATGATTTCCTCGACTCTCGCGAATCACCGTGGCTGAAATCGCAACCTGATCGCGATGCTCGCGCCTCGCACGCGACCTTGCGCTACTCTCGCATTCGATCGAAGATCCGTTTAATGTTAACTGACCGTGTTTGACAGCTATGGGTGTCACCCGACCTACAAAGCGCGAACGTGAGAGTCCGTACCTGTCGTCCGAGACGTGGGGAATGTTTGTTTCAAAATACGCTTCGCGTGTCGACGACGTGGCTTCTTTCTGCAAGTTGCGAGGTAATCGATCGATGGATAAATTTGACGGTCTCCGAACCATTTCTTCCTCCTGTCGTCTTCACGATGCAATGGATACCTTCCCATTTGATGACATAATTGACACAAGTCAACGCAAGTATCATTCTGTCTTTATTACTCATGAAATGCCAAAAAAGATGGGATGATGTTGGTGTTAACTTGTGTTAGTAATATCGAATTTGATCATTTATATTACAATTAAATTAGTGCATACTAAAAGCTGTTGTATATGAAATTAGCAAAGCTAAATGTAAAGCATAATGCATATTTTAAATAATTAAATACCTAATAATGATACTAGGCCTGTTTTTTATCCAACGAAAAAATAGCCATCAATTAGACATCATATCGAGGTTTAATTGATGTCGAAATCACTGATATTACATATTCAATATTGACTCAACATCAATTCGATGATTCATTTTATTGCTAGACAGCTGAATTTCTTGGTTCATCTTTTCTCTTTTTCATTGGGAAAATAAAGAGAAAAAGTGAACTATGTCTGAGAAATTTAGAAAAAACACTTATTGTCACGTTATTTAACAAAATATATATATTATTTCATTGACAATGAAATCAAAGTTGATTAAATTATGCCACTGTATTTGGATACTTTATATAAAATAGCCTTACAATAATACAATAATGTGTATTAATCCATTATATATAGTGTAAGTGATCGAATTTATCATAAATAAAAAGCATCCAATCTCGTAGCGGAATATCCATATTCATTTCGCTTGCATCATAATTCAGTAAAAATTCGTTTCGATTGCGAATAAAAGCTTGCGTGTCAAGCTGAGATTTCTCCTATTTTTCATCGTAATTTCACAGCTAATAGCTGTCAATCGTGACATCGACTAACATGGAATGGCTTTCAGGAAATTTTAAATCTCTGTATGCTCTACTGAAAAAAATCCAACGTTACGAAGATGAACGACACAGCCGAGAAACTTGTTCCAGCATGATCGTCTGCCGTGTTTGTAGAGGTGATTAGTTTTTAACACACTGTTAACTTGTACTGTTGCGTTAAAAACTAATCTCCTCTACACACACGCGCGCACGCACGACGCACGCACGCATGGTGATAGTGCGTATATATATATATATAGTGAAGGGCGCATTTAAGGAGAATAACATCTTCAATTTACTGCCCGAGACTTGTGTATCCTTACATAAAAACATCGCACATTCCACGCATGACACACTTTCTTTCCACGCGGCACATATTACGTAATTACACGAGATATGTAGCATTGAAAACTGCACAGCGAAGCTCGATTTGTAAAAATAACAAATACAATGAATGATCTTTGTTCTTAATTCGCATTCGGTAAATTCTATTCTATTGGGATGTCCGAAAATTGGAAACACTTAATTGAACGGATAATGCCATTGAGATCTTTTCTCGAGGAGCCAGGTTTCGTCTCTCACCATTTCATTAAAGGGGATACACTAATTAACATTTTATTACGCAAGAATTTCCATATGTTCGTGGAATTTAATACAAGAATAAAGAAGAAAGAAATTAGGGACATATACGAGTTTCAATGTCATCGATCGAACGTTATTTAGCGAATACGTTCGGGTTTCATCCTCGCTGTTGCCATTGCTGATCCAATCAAGTATGCGAATTCCATGCTTGATTTTCACTCCGTGTTTGATTTACCAAATGATCCGCCTGATACATTGCGATTCGTTCGCCAGCACTGTTAAATTCATAATGTCAAATTCTACCCAATTTGAGTTATAATTAAATATACTCAATTATACTTTATTCATTTAAAAAAATTTTTATTTTAGGTCGTCATTATGCTCTTATTTAATATGTCATTAATTTAATTGAAACAACGGAGTTAAATATTTTAATTGAAGAATTTAGTTTATTATTTACTAAGTGCACACATTGATATGGATGTTGTTTATTTTGAAACTAAACAGTCCAGTAAATAAGCTGCCTTGTTATTTTAATGCTAAAGACGTCATTTAAACGTCAAAACGACGATAAAGCGTTCACTTTGCTGAAAATTCGATCATAGAAATGAATTAATTTACATTTTAACACATATAAGTAAAAAAATAACAAAATGTTAACTCAAAGAATTAGATTATCAGATTTCTCTTCTGATCTTTATCGAATGAATTCGATATATCGACACTCGCACTATACTGATAACTGAGTTAGTTCATATCAAAGGCTGCTTTATATAAAGTACATTGGTAATATAATTGTAACAATGAAACATATTCTATACCAAATAACGCGACAATATCATTATTGAATATTTAATCGTTAAAAATATTTATATGCTTTTACATTTAACTTTGTTAATCTCATGTAGAGCAGCTTTTAGGATGCATACTAATCTAGTAATGGAAATGACTGGAATTCGTTATGACAGTGAAGATGACAGCACACGTGGTTTAATGGGGCATCGAGCCAATGACGCTGCGAAACGGCACGTGGAAACCCGTGCTCCAGAATTCGCGTGGAGTTTGCCACACGGTCGCGATAATCCCACTATTATCGGATTCGCGCCATCCGAAAAATAGATATTTTCCCTGTCGTATAGGAAAACATCGCCTACAAAAGTAGAACGCGCATTGGAAAGTGATACTGCATGCCCGAACTGTTTCTCTTCTTCGAAAGATAACAACTTCCCCTTTATCAAGCGAAAAATTCTTCCTTTGCTTAGAAAATCCTTCGGTACTATATTTATTGACACGAATCGTACTTTTACAAGCAAATAAGAATTTTTGTTAAACTTCGAACTATTTTTTATTTCATTCTTATATCTTTCGAAAATGGAAGAAGTTATATATTCTCTCAATCCTATTCTCTCAATGCGTTTTATTCTTGAAGTTTAAGTTTCGTAAAATGTCGTATTATATAGTCAGTGACTTTAGTTCCTTCTTCCTTTTAGACTCTAGACATTTCAAATGAGATCTCTTTGTTCATCTCACATATTCTTTCTCTTAAACATTGTATGTGAAATACTCGAAATATATTATTTCTTGAGTTTTCGATAGGAATTGTGTTAAATTTTAGATTATTTTTTCATCCCATCTTTGGCAGATGAAATTGTATTCTCATTATATTTTATTCTTGAACAAGTTTAAAATGAAATTGCGATATGAAATATCATATTATGTGTTTAGTGACTTTAATTTTTTCTCACTTCTGAAGACATCTCAGCTGAGATTCTTTATTTTCTTTATTTTCTCTCTTACTACATGATACCACATAATAATCGAAATTATTTTCTGAGTTTTTGATTACATTAGATACAAAAGAACAAGAGAATATTATCTCGTTGAAAAATGTCTCTATTATCTCAAGGATGAAAACCTTAAGCGTTTACATAACACAATTCATTCTAGCTGCTTCGAAAGAAAATAGTTTCACACGTTTTTTCACGATGTATGAAACGCGACGTTCACAAACGTAGATTCTTTTGTGCAAATATCGCGTATCATGCATAGCTTTGAGAAATTCACCGATGGTGAATTTTTGGCGTCGCTTTTTTACGGTTTTTGTTGTTGAAAAAAAAATTAGTTTCAGCCGAACCAAGACCACTGCACGCGTTTGAATCACGAGCTCACAACGGGAGACGAGGGTTAAAAATAGAAGGCTAAGTAAGGACATCTTGGTATACCCTTATTCTACAGGCTGTGTCATCCCTAGGGCCTTTTTCACTCGATATCGCAAACCGCTATTTCCTCGCACGTACACGTGCCGCTTTTTCTACAATATCAAACTGGATATTGTACGCAGTAATTAGTTAATTCAAAATTCACTTGAAACGATAAACAATTTTTCATTAGTTATCAATAAATCTATCGATGATTCACAGACTTGTTCTGGCAACTTTTCATCTCTAAAAGCGATTATTTTAATATTTTATTTCAAGAAGTCATTATTTCAAATAGATATATGAGATGCCATCTTTTTATTATAATAAAAAAGAAACATTAATACGTTCACTTTACATTTATTTATGATTATTATTATTTATGAAAATTAATAACTTGTAAATATGAGACATTTTGTAATGATATATAATTACATAATTTATACAGTGTTGCTTCTTCAATAAAATACAGGAAAGCAGAGATGCAGTAAATTTTAACAATTAATTAATCGCGTTTAATAATAAGTGTGCAATAGAAATATAATGGAATATCAGAAAGCTGTAAATAGTTTTCAGTAATACATATACGTATTGTATTATGAAAGAAGCAATCTCGCTTCAGTGAATCGATCGTGTAAAAATATCGTTGAAATCGTACATTGTTTCTACTATCTAATATTCATTTTTTTGAATTACATTTAAAAAAATGTTGATTTCGCGTCTCTCATAGAGTCTCTCGTAGACTCAAATTTTTTTTTTATTCGTATCAATGTTACTTGTATTATATTTATATACGTACATTTTTATGAAAAATTATTTTTGAAAAATCTTTTTAACAAAAAGTGTTAGATTTCCTTATTTATTATCCCAGAATGTTTATATAAAATAATGTCTAGTTCTTATTTAATTTAACAGAATTTGTGCATGTAAAATTTTAATTTTATTAGTTTTATTAAAATCATTTTATAGTTTTATTAAAATCTATTATATGACAAATTAAATTATTTATCATTATTTTATTAATAAAAAGAGCATTTAATTCTACGAAATTTCATATATTATATGCTTATTTTTATTACATCGCGTTATCTAACTTGAGCGCTGTTTGTTATCAAAATACATAGGTAGATACATTACTTCATACGACGTGACTAAAATGCTTTTGTTTGTTTTACAGATAAATCGACCGGAGAGAAAATAACATCATTTGATGTAAGTAATCATATCGATTTTTCTTTAACTAAATAAATGCTACTTTTAAAATATTCTCCCAAAAAATGCATGTGTTTCAGTTCAATGACAAAATCGATTTTATTTGAATATTTTATTAGACTCCAATGACTCCAATAATGTTTAAATAATTATTAGCAATTAATGTAATGATATAAATGAAAATACACGCATACATATATCTTCGTGCGCATATGTCAACTCAAAAGTCAATTCGTAAATAATAATTTCATTGTTGATTTAACAAAAAAAAATTCAAATGAAAGAACTACGTTCATTCACTGCGAGTTTCAAACAAAATCCTTTGTATTCTGTTATGTCTTTCTTAATTTTATACTCCCTTATCTTCCTTCGTTTTCTAATAAATAATTAATATTTTTTATATAGATTTTTTATATAGATTGTCAACAATTTTTATTTTTCAAATAATTTTAAAGAGGAAGCATCTACGAAAAAACCTTGATTCGTAATGTGCTGCATTTCATCATCTTTTAATTATTTTCCATTAACACTCGCTCCTTTTGCACGGATTCACATCCATATTACATTTATTACTAATCGCGATCACTTAAATGTATGCTTTTCATTGATTTTTATTCTATAAATATATTCAATGCACGATCGTGCATTATTACAATACTTTCCAAATAAAGTTCATGCCGAGCGCGTAAGATAAAATGGGAATAAAGATAATAATCTAGAACAAGTAAATTGTCTGATATCTTTTGAATTAATTCGAAATAGATCAACATCGACCATAACATAAGATTTCTTTAATCTTCTATTTACAACCAGTCGCGCCAGATATATCCTAAGTTTACTCGCGAAATCATTTCTATTTTTATACGACGTACAGATCTGCCCGTCATGGATAATTTACACTCGAGCGTCCGCAGGATCGATTCTTGCACGCTTGCAAAAGAGTCAAATTGTGCAAAATGGGTTCTCAAATTTGCGATTTGATCTTGTTATTACGACTCGCGAGACACGCTTAAAAATACAGATAAGAGAAATGTATTATAAATCACTGTTGCACATGAACGATTATCGCGGATATCATGCTTCGATAATCACATATTTTTGCAAAATGTATAACTAATCACAGCGATATCTATCACAACGAAGCAATATCTATGAATTCCTTTTTCTTCTTAGTTCTTATAATCATTCATGTGAATCGCGCGTAACCGGAGACATCTTCGGTATTTCCTCCGTATGGTGCTAAATACTACACTCTGCTACAACAGATAGTTTGTGATATGTGTATATACTGAGATCTTGCGTAATGCGAGTTAGCCGGAACACATAACTTGTTACATATAAATTCTCGCTGTGCGCATTTCAGATTGCATTGAATTATTATTTAAAGTGAAACTATTTTCCTTGAGTATATATTCGGTGTTAACAAGCATGTGTTATGTACTATCAATTATCTTTGCAGAGCTCAGTAGTACAACATGGTACGACAGGTGGCAAGACCCTCGTGGGGGTATCAAGAAACAAATCGGAACGAGAGAGGAAGATTGGGCATCGAAGAGTTGGAGTGGGAGGTGAAATCACATATAAGAAGGTATGAAGGGAAGAATACCAGTGTAGCACTCTTAATAGATAGTTTCTTCAAATTTTGCGCTTTGTAATCAAAGTTAAAGAGTATTATTAAGTATTATTAAGTGAAAGAGAAAGACTTAATAAGCTTATACTATATTATGTTTAGCAGTATGAGTGGTAAGATCTTTTGATGTTAATAAAAGAGATAAGCTACTTTTCTTATTCAGTTATCAATGAGAGTGATGATCAGCTACACATGTATTTACTGATTTAATCACCTGATATAAGCTTATTGCAGGAGAGATTAGACTTTCTCTACTTAATAGCATGGGACATTACTATCTTTTTCTTTATTAATATTGTAGGCATGATATAAAATTAAAATCAATAATATTTGTAATTTTATATCTTCATGATTAGTTAAAAAAATATTTTTTTTATTTATTTTATACAGATTCAAACAACACAAATTATGGGATCTATTCAATTGGGTATACAGCATGCTGTTGGCGGTCTTGCAAGTAAACCGGAACGTGATTTATTAATGCAAGACTTTATGACTGTGGAAACAACGAACTTTCCTAGTGAAGGGTCAAATCATACTCCAGCCCATCATTTCTCGGAGTTTAAATTTAAGAACTATGCACCTATTGCATTTCGTTATTTTAGAGATCTCTTTGGCATTCAGCCGGATGATTTTTTGGTAAACAAATCGCAGAAATTTTTTTTCTGTATAAATTAACATTAACATTATGTACTAATAATAAACCTTTTTAGATGTCAATGTGTAGTGCACCATTACGTGAGTTATCAAATCCTGGCGCCAGTGGAAGTATCTTTTATCTAACGGATGATGATGAATTTATCATAAAGACTGTTCAACACAAAGAAGGAGAGTTTTTGCAAACTCTACTTCCAGGATATTACATGGTATGTTCTAGAAGTAGATAATTACACAATATAATACTTTTTTTAACACATAAGCTTTTTTTATAACAACAATATTATTTCCTACAGAATCTAAATCAGAATCCAAGAACATTATTGCCAAAGTTTTTTGGATTGTACTGCTATCGATGTAATAGTAAAAATGTTAGATTAATTGCTATGAATAATCTTTTACCTTCATCTGTAAAATTGCATCAAAAATATGATTTAAAAGGGTCTACATACAAAAGAAAGGTAATATTTTATATGAATATGTATAAGTATTATATTTCAATGTATATAATTTTATTTATATTAAAAATTCTAGGCATCGAAAACAGAACGTTCGAAGTCTTCACCAACATATAAAGACCTAGATTTTATAGAACATCATCCAGAGGGTATCTTTTTAGAAGCCGACACATATGGTGCATTAGTAAAAACTATTCAACGGGATTGTCGTGTATTAGAAAGTTTCAAAATTATGGATTATTCTTTACTTGTTGGAATCCATAATCTTGACCAGGCTGCAAAAGAAAAAGCTGTAAATATCACATGACATTTTTCATATCACGTAAATGTCAGTATATATTTGTCTTTACACACATATACATAATATAGCATATATATATACATATTATAGCAAGAACAAAGATTATCGGCAAGTGCCGATGAAGAAATTGATGAAATGGGTGGCGAAAGTGACGGATTCATTCAATCTGAGAGAGAAAAACAGAAAGAGGATAGAATAGGCGCTGCTGCTTTAAATCGATCACGTAGTATAAATCGTCAAAGATTGGTTGCTCATAGTACAGCAATGGAAAGTATTCAGGCTGAGAGTGAACCAATAGATGAAGAGGATGATGTACCGTGAGCACGATATGTTTAACTCTTACATGGATGTGTTAATATGTTTTTAATTATAATAAATTTCATTTTTAATGTTCCTAACAGTTCAGGTGGCATTCCTGCCAGAAACGCGCGTGGTGAACGTCTTTTATTGTTCCTTGGAATTATTGACATTTTGCAAAGCTACAGGTTGAAAAAGAAACTGGAACATACGTGGAAATCGATGATACATGATGGGGTAAGTGATATATATATATATATATATATATAGCACACATGCGCGCGCGTAAATTTATAGATTTCCTTTTAATTATCATACTCTCTTTGACTTCCTTTTATTGGTCTCAACGTCCTATTGTTAATATAGAAGAAATGTTCTTATTTTCCAAGGACACTGTATCAGTGCACCGACCAGGATTTTATGCACAACGCTTTCAGGATTTCATGGCCAAGACAGTATTTAAGAAAATACCATCACGTAAGTACCATCCGAATCAACCTGTCCTAACAAGTTTGACTACAAGATTACACTCAGCAAAACTCGCTAATTTATGAGTATTTTCATGCTTACTTACCTATCAGTAGTCATTGTTTTCTGGTTGATCACATTAATTCGGTACATTAGACAAGAGATAATTGACTTCCTACAAAGGTAGAAAATAAGTTTTAGCTGTAATTAGTAACTAGTCATTGTAAGATATTTAAATTGAAAGTCAAAATCTTTTTTGTTTATAATAACAATATCGATATTGTGATTCAACCATATACAATGCTATCGAATTGTATTTTTTATTGAGGCATTTGAGATATATTTTAAACATTTAACGAGACGAAAAATGAGAGTAGGACAAAAGTATATTATAAATGAAGCTCAAAACTGGTACTTACAATATATATATATATATAGTGATATAATTAGTAAGATACTTATATTGTTACTTAAAAAGCATATACCAATCCTCATAGACAGCAGTAAGCCGTAAGCTAGGAACATATATTTTTTTTCTTGTTACAATTTGCTACAAAACTCGTTTACTTTATTTGTATAGTTACATGTTCTTTTATCTAGCGTGTAACAAACTTATTAACGAATTGGAACATTTAGGACACCCAACAAAATATATATTAGCTTCTACAAACATATTACTCATACTACTATTATCAGGATTGACACAAGCGATGCCAGTTTTAATAAATACTCTAGTTATTTATATTTTAAGAATGTTGAAAGCGCAAGTCGGCGACTCAATTTTGTCCTAACAGATTTTATCACAGATTTAGCCGTCCAGAAAAATGTTCTAACGATTATAATAGCGTTATAAGATATTTGAGTGACTGCAGAGAATGCGACAAATACTGTGCGGATATCCGAAAATTATCTAGACGTGGTGCTTGCATCAATATCATGATTCTATTCAAATTTTATTCATCTATCAGTGCCTTGCGTAAGTTAATGAAATATCATGCATAATTAAAATTATTTCTTGTTAAATAAGAATAATACGCTTTTTATCTCAACGAATGCGATATCAATAGAATTCAATCCGATCCAAAACAGAACTTTTCGGATACCTGCATTCGTTTCAAATCAATGCTGTGAATAAGAATATTTTGGGTTTATGAGTGTCAATTGATCATTTTTGGGTTTTGTTTTGGTGTAACTAATTGCTAACACAATACACGTTTGTATATTTTATTATATAATTTTTCTATTATTTATGATAATTTTTATTTTTAAGTTCAACCGTATTGTGCATTTCATATTTTCTTTCGATACACAATTTTTTTTTATATATTTGTTTAAAAAAAGAAATAGTGAATTACCAATCACTGGTGTCCACAGATATAGCTGAGTATTTTTTATATATCGATATTATTAATCTTGACTTCCATTAGTATTCTTGTACATTAAATTTTATTCCGAGCCATGTTTGAAAAAAACAATTATCTTAAAGCAAAATTTTTATAAAATGTTATATAGAAGAATCAAATATTTTTTGCTTATTAATAACTTTTTCTTGATATAGTCTATAATATAGCTGAAGATATGTATGCATCTGTTAGTGTACAGATTATCACAATTACGATTTCTATCATTTAGATTTTTCAATCGATCAATAAATATCATGTGCCAAAATTTTATATGAAATTTCTTTAATGTGTCAAGGATAAATAAATCTTAATGAAAAAAGTTTCTATTTTATCGATGCGCCAAAGCAATCATTGATATTTTCAGTTCATCAGAGCTTGTTAGTACAAAAAGATATAGTAGAACGCATGAAATACATCCGAGCATTCAAGTAGCATATTTAATACAGCTTCAAAAAGAAAAAAAATGCATGCCATAATTTTCTCGACACAAAGGATCTTTATAGAAATGCTAGTTTTGTGCGGTCTATGTATCTGTAGAAAAATCTCTGCGATATATAAATAATGTTGAACGTATATATTTTTGGCAATAGTAGCAAATGTAGGACCGCGTGGGTGTACGAGATTAATTACAAAAAGAGTGCGAGAGTGTGAGAGCGAGAATAATCGGTAGAAGTAGAATTTTTTTTGTAAAAATATTCAGCTATTGACTGAACGTGGGCACCATTGTACATATTTATATATTTTACAATAAACATTTTCGCTGTTTACAACTTCATTTCATTTATGAGCCCACCCGTACACTTATAACTTACTGTACTATTACTTTTACTACTACTACTATTACTACCACTACTACTTTAACTATTATTACTACTACTGTTACTGTACTGTTACTATTACTACTAATGCTATTACTGTTACTATCATTACTTTTGCTACATTAGTACTATTACCATCATTATTGACGTCGTTCCTTATTATGACATACATTCCCTAGTAATCGTTCATATTAAGTTTTTTTGCACCATCAGCGGGTTACACTTTGTATATTGTCTTAATATTGTATCGTGCAATGTGTTTGTTGTGTTACGTACGTTTGCGTTTTGTTGATCACCTACCACTTATACTTTATCATATGATTAAACAAATTACAATTGACAGCCCAAACATCTTAGGGAAAGTCATATAATTAGTGTAATATATTTTTTAAATTATCATACGTTAAAACATCATTTAAACAGCAGAAACTTGAGTCGCATAAATCTTCGAATGCAACAAGATTCAATTAGTCTTGGATAATAACTTGTGCAACGGTATCTACGATATTAATTTTTCCTATCCGAGTACACAAAAGAAATATAAGGTCACTTTGTATTTCAACTTTCAACATATTTGGAAATTAAGTGTACCCTGATTTTTCTTTAATGTTTCTATTTATTCTCGGCAGTCCCTATGATTTTATCATTCGTTCAATGATTCGGTACATAATCATATTATAAGCGGTATTAGCTAAATGTTAATGTTTCTCTCTGTGTCCCGTGCACTTCTTTTCGTGTCAACTCCCAATGACCTCATCTGACCTGCTACCGATCGAAACTCGAAAATTGAATACCAAAAGTGGACCTGCCTGAGATTAAGGGGAATCACCGCAAATTCCGTAACCTCGTCACCAGCTATATAGGTAACTCTGTCTATGTGTGTGTCCATCTGTCCATTTGTGTACGAATGTTTGTTTTCACAAGATCCTCTGCCTGGATATGTATTTCTTCTTATGAATGATTTGTTTTTTATGTTCTATTCATTATGATTTTACAATATGTGGATTTATTTCACCTCTTATGTACACACAATTTGCATTAAGCAGATAAAATCTATCACAACTTTTGTCACAATTTTTTAGAAGAATTTGAATAATTGTTTTAAAATAATTGCAAATATAATTTACAAAGTTAATATTATATTTCTCTGCATGTGATATATTCAAAGATAAGAAGGTATTCATTATATTAGAATGTTACATGTTTATTTTTATATTTTTTTACCTGATGAATTAAAATTGAAAGGAATACAACAGATTAGAATAGATTAGATAACCGATTTAGAAAAGTCAATTACACACACACATATCTGAGAAGTTTGTTTTTATAATATGAATATTTGTTTTACACACTACAATTTTAAACGCAACTTTTTATATTTGTTACTAACACATGATTTTTTAAACTTGAATATTTCTACTGAAAGTATTTGTTAAGCAAACTAAGTGAAATTAGCAACAGAATTATGCAAATAAATCTTTTGAACATCTTTGTGAGTATGTTTCTTATTTATGATTTTCGCTTGTGCTTATGAGAATTGTATGCCTGATACATGTATTTTTTTATCACTCTTCGCACATATATCCGTTCTCTGTTTTTCTGACATACATTTTGCAACACACAGCTCAAGAATTTTATTATAAATCTAGGTCATTCTTCTCTCAATATATCCAAGAATAACATCTATATATATAAATATATACTTGTTATAGATGATGAACTCTTCACCCTTTCCCTACACTATATTTTTCTATCATCTCAAAAAAAAAAAGATGAATTCCTTAAAGAGATTTCGGTAATTGCGTTTTATTCAGTGTGTTCCACTTAATTTCTCTATCTATAAAACTCTAAAATCCTAAATTTTCCTTATCACATTCGGTATCGTGCAGCAATTAGTTTAGCCTAGACATACCCTATAATCACAGCACGGACCGATAAATTAATGGATAAAAACGTCTGCGCAATTTACAATGAAATCTAGTTGTTACGTTTGCATAAAATGTACATCTACAGATTCCAGCACAATTTTCTCATGTACGTATATTCTTTTTCTGTGTAATTAATTAGGCATGGAGTAAAACGTAGCACATACAGGTGACAATTGCTAATCGTACAAAAAGTTTTCGCTTAAAAACAAGCGAGGCCATGTTTAAATGTTGTCCGCTTGACTATATTCTCATTTATTCACAATATATGTTATTTTATGCCTGCGATTAGTAAAATATAAGTATTTTTATACAATAAGAACATATATACTATAGTTTAGAATGTGTTAATAAATAATAGAATAGTATAGTCATAGACTGAAAAAAGAATTAAATTTTATACAGGCTTAGCAAATGCAGTTCTGTAGTAAGATTTGTCATTCAAACAGAAAAGTTAAATATTTAAATTATGAACGAAAGAACTATCGCGATATGTATAAAAATTTATCTATTTTTTTTATTAGAATTAATAAATAGATAAATTGACCATGTAATATAAAAGCACTTATTTAAAATAAATAAGATAAATTACGTGTAGATAGATTGCGATTTTAGCTGTGTATTTTTATATCTTTTTGTAATTTTCTTTAGAATTCATAGTAATATTGCAATACTGCAAAGTAGAAATTATTTTATATAATTATTGTAAAAATTGAATAACCCGATTTATGATATTCTACTAACAATTAAGTTTATGATATTTTTAAACTAAAACAAATTAACGAGACAAAGTCAATAAAATGTTCTTCGATCCTTGCTGATGTCAGTTTTTGTAGCGTTTTGAGCCCTTTTGATAGGCGTACTTAACACGTATTTTTATAGTGGTTTTTAAAAATGAATTTGTTTAGTTCGCACAGCTTACGTAAGAAATTATAGCATCGCATACTTTATGTTGCAGCTTTGAAACATTCCCCATCGAAGAGAAAAAGTATAAGCAGACCATTGAGGCCGCTAGAAGGTGACTTTGATTCAACCGGTAAGTTAAATGCGTTTCTTTCAAACTCAAATAATTTTTTTCCGATTTTCTATCATTCAAAAGTTCTCTACGCTTGTTCATGATATCACGCGAGAAATTGATCGGTTTTCGGAACGTCATCAGTAACAGACCGTAAATAATAATTATTTCGCGTTTTTTAGTAACTGGATATATATTCTTTAATATTCATCTTCAGCGTGTCTAAAATAATAAATTGTAATGAGAGAATTGATTAAAGTAACGTCCGATTTCAAGTAAAATATATTAGCATCGCGACTGAGAGGTTTGGACGTGAATTCCGAAAATCGTGCCGAAAATTTCGACAGAACGTTTTCACGGTTCTACCATTAGCTTTGCGCTGGATTTCACTGTAGCCAGGCACAGCGATCAGTGCAATAAACTTAGTTGCGGCATTCCCAAGTTACCCGCTTCTAAAACATTCACGACAATATCGATATGCGAAGACATCGAGAGTTCTAGGTGAAGTTCCGTCCGATCCTATCCGATCTTCCTGTCCTTTGCTCCACGTTGGTTTCCTATGGATACTTCTCTACACACATGAAAAGCGTATGTACATTTATTATAATCTCTAATTGTTTAGTAGAATTTTAATTCGCACTACAAAGGCGCACCTTGTAAAGAAATCAACATTCTCAATCTCACGTTTTTCTTTTACTGATGAATCAAAAGTTTAGAGAATTTTATCAACAGAAATGTAAGTCTGTACATATCCATATCTCGCACGGGCTCAAGTCATCGTCAGCGACGAACAAACGGTAAAATCGGTGTAAATACTAAATGCAAAATTATATTGTATATAACGGAGAGAGAAAGCAGAGAATTGCTGCATTTTATATCTTCTTAAATTTATATTTTACCTGGCAAAAAGTTCCACTGACACATACCTTTGCACCTCGCGCGATCCTTCTCACTTCATCTCTCCTTGTATTCCCACAATCAATTCGTTTACCATCCTATATATATATATATATA